AGCTGTTACCTGCTACTGCCACCTAGAGTGTGCAGTAGTAGGAAACTGGAATCAGAAACAGAGCCAGGACTCAAACCCCAGCTATAGCCTTTCAGCATATTTTGCAGTCAGGCAGTATGATGCCTGAAGCTTTGTCTTTTATTTTTTTCAAAGATTGATTTATTTACTTGAAAGAGCCACAGAATGAGATCAAGACAGATACCCTCCATCTGCTGGTTCACTCCCCAGATGGCTGGAACAGCCAGGGCTGAGCCAGGCTGAAGCCAGGAGCCAGCAGCCAGCAGCTTCTTCAGGTCTCCTACATGGGTGCAGGGGCCCAAACACTAGGGCCATCTTCCACTGCTTTCCCAGGCCATTAGCAGGAAGCTGGATTGCAAGTGGAGCATCCAGGACATGAGCCTGTGCCCATATGGGATGCCAGCACCACAGGTGGCAGCTTTACCCACTGTTCTGCAATGCTGACCCTCATTTTTAAAAATTAGTTATATATTCACCAATTTGAGACAGAGACAGAAATAGACAAAGAGCTTCTATCTGCTGGTTCACTACCGAAATGTTTGCAATAGCCAGGGCTGGATCAGGATGAAGGTAGGAGTCCCCAACTTTCTCTGGGTCTCCCATGTAGGTAACAGGGACTCGTAAGCTTGAGCCATCACCTGTTGCACATTAGTAGGAAGCTGGACTCAGAAGCAGAGCCAGGACTTGAACCCAGGTACTCTGACATGGGATGTGGGATCCCAAGCAGTGTCTTAATGGTTGCACCAAATGCCCACCCCTGTAGCTTTGTTTTCGTTTTGCTCAAGATCGCTTTGGCAGTTAAGGGTGTTTTGTGGTTCCAGACAAATTTTTTTTTCTATTTCTGTTAAGAATGTCATTAGTATTTTGATATGGATTACAGTGAATGTGTGGATCACTTTGAGTAGTATGGACATTTTAACTCTTCTTCTAATTCACTAACACAGGGCATATCTTCATTTGTGTCTTCATCAATGTTTTTGGTTGTCAGTGTAGAAATTTTTTCACATTTGGTTAAATTTTTCCCTGAATAACTTTGTTTTTTATAGCTATTATTAATAGGATTATTTCTTAATTTCTTTTTCAGATAGTTCACTGTTAGTGAATAAGAATGCTACTGATTTTTACATGTTTATTAAATCCTACAACTTTAGTAAATTCACTTATTAGATATAACAGGTTTTTAGTGGAGTCTTTAGGGTTTTTTTTTTTTTTTTTAATTACATGTTTGAGGCCAGCTAAGCTAATCCTCCGACTGTGGCGCCAGCACTTCGGGTTCTAGTCCCGATTGGGGCACCGGTTCTGTTCCGGTTGCCTCTCTTCCAGTCCGGCTCTCTGCTGTGGCCCGGGAGTACAGTGGAGGATGTCCCAAGTGCTTGGGCCCTGCACCCGCCTGGGAGACCAGGAGGAAGCACCTGGCTCCTGGCTTTGGATCGGCGCAGTGTGCCGGCCATAGCAGCTATTTGGGGAGTGAACCAGTGGAAGGAAGACCTTTCTCTCTGTCTCTCTCACTGTCTAACTCTGCCTGTAAAAAGAAAAAAAAAAAATTATATGTTCAAGAGGCAGAGTTATAGAGAGGGAGGACCAGGAGAGAGAGAGAGAGAGAGAAAATCGATTATCTGCTGATTGACTCCTTAAATGACTGTAATAGCTGGGGCTGGGCCAGGCCCCTGTCAGGAGCAGGAACCCCATTCAGGTCTTCTGTGTGGGTGGCAGGGGCCCGAGTGCTTGCACAGTCTTCTGCTTTCCTAGGTGCATTAATCAGAAGCTGGTTCAGAAGTGAGTAGCCGGGACTTAATCTGGTGCAGGTGGCAGCCCAACCCGCTGCACCACAACACCAGCGTTGTCTTTAGTTTTCTGTGTATAAATTATCATTCTCTCTGTGTCAGGAAGGCATCCTTTTCATGGCTGTCTTTACTTCTTTTTGTTGTCTAATTGCTTTCGCTTGGAATTATAGTACTGTGTTGAATAGAAGTGAAAAGAGAGGTCATCCTTGTCTTGTTCCAGATCTTAAAGCAAAAGTTTCCAGTTTTCCCTTGTTGAGTATGATGTTAGTTGTGGGATTGTCAAATGTGGCCTTTTTTGTATTGAGATAGATTTCTTCTGTATCTAATTTTAAGAGTTTTTATTAGGAAAGCATGTTGAATTTTTCCAGTGCTTTTTCTGTATCTGTTGATATGATCACGTGGTTTTTGTCCTTCAGTTCTGTTGATGTGATATATTGCATTTATTGACTTTCATATGTTGAACCATTCTTGTATTCCTAGGATGAATTCCACCTGATCGTGTTGAATTATCTGTTTAATGTGCTATTGAATTCAGTTTTCTATTTTGTTGAGGAATTCTGTATCTATGTCTATCAGGGATTTTGGCCTATAAATTTCTTTTCTTTTATAGTAGTTTCTCTAGCTTTTTTTTTTTTTTTTTTTTTTTTTGACAGGCAGAGTGGACAGTGAGAGAGAGAGACAGAGAGAGAAAGGTCTTCCTTTGCCGCTGGTTCACCCTCCAATGGCCGCCGCTGCAGCCGGCGCACCGCGCTGATCCTGGCAGGAGCCAGGAGCCAGGTGCTTTTCCTGGTCTCCCATGGGGTGCAGGGCCCAAGCACCTGGGCCATCCTCCACTGCACTCCCTGGCCATAGCAGAGAGCTGGCCTGGAAGAGGGGCAACCGGGACAGAATCCGGCGCCCCAATCGGGACTAGAACCCGGTGTGCCGGCGCCGCAAGGTGGAGGATTAGCCTATTGAGCCACGGCGCCGGCTCAGTTTCTCTAGCTTTGATAACAGGGTGATGCCTTAAAATGTAGTTGAAGTCTTCCCTCTTCAGTTTTTTGGAAAATTTTAAGAAGAATTGATGTTCATCTTTAAATGTTTGGTAGAATTCAGTGGTGAAGTCAGTTTGTTTTTTTTTATTGGAGACTTTATTACTGAATCTCATTATTTGTTATTGGTCTGTTTAGATTTTCTATTTCTTTGTAATTCAGTCTAGGTATGTTTTATATATTGAGGGATTTATCCATTTCTTCTTCCAGGTTATACGCTTCGTTGGCATATAGTTGTAGATCATCGTCTCTTAGGATGCTTTATATTTCTGTGCTTTCAGTTATAATGTCTCCATTTAAATTTGTGATTTTTATTTAATGTTGATTTTTTCCTAGTCTAGATAAAGGTTGTGATTTGGTTACCCTTCTTTGGCGTTTGTTTTTGTTGTTTTTCTGGGACAGGCAGAGTGGACAGAGAGAGAGAGACAGAGAGAAAGGTCTTCCTTTGCCATTGGTTCACCCTCCAATGGCTGCCGCGGCTGGCGCACCGCGCTGATCAGATAGCAGGAGCCAGGTGCTTATCCTGGTCTCCCATGGGCTCCACTGCACTCCCTGGCCACAGCAGAGAGCTGGCCTGGAAGAGGGGCAACTGGGACTAGAACCCGGTGTGCCGACGCCGCAAGGCGGAGGATTAGCCTAGTGAGCCGTGGCACCGGCCAATAAATAAATCTTAAAAAAAAAAAAAAAGTTACACAGAGGAGAGGAGAGGCAGAGAGACAGAGAGAGAGAGAGAGAGAGAGAGAGAGAGACAGAGAGAGGTCTTCCATCCACTGGTTCACTCACCAGATGGATGCAACGGCCAGAGCTGCGCTGATCCGAAGCCAGGAGTCAGGATCTTCTTCCGGGTGTCCCACGTGGGTGCAGGGGCCCAAGGACTCAGGTCCTCCACGGTTTCCCAGGCCATAGCAGAGAGCTGGATCGGAAGTGGAACAGCTAGGTCTCCCTCTGGCACCCATATGAGATGTTAACCTGCTGTGCTGCAGCACCGGCCCCTCCTGCTTACTTCTTAAAGTTCTTGTCCATTAAATTGATTTGCAGCCCCCTTGCTGGTACCTGTATGCGCATATCCATCTGGCAGGTTATTTCCCTTACTTGCTTGAGCGTCACTTTATAATTATGTGTGAAGCTCTTAGAACGGTTCCTAGTATTTCGTAAGTACTTAATAAACCTTAGCTATTTGTTGCTATGTGGTGATTCTGAGCAATTCTCCACCGGTCTTTTATAGATCAGAAAAAGTGAGGGCTGGTGCTGTGGTGTAGCAGGTAGGGCTGACGCCTGCATTACCATCATCCTGTATGGGCACCAGTTCGAGTACCAGCTGTTCTGCTTCCAATCCAGCTCTCTGCTGTGGCCTGGGAAAGCAGTGGAGGATGGCCCAAGTCCTTGGGCCCCTGCACCCACGTGGGAGACCTGGAGGAGGCTCCTGGCTCCTGGCTTCAGATCAGCTCTGGCTGTTGTGGCCAACTGAGGAGTGAACCAGTGGTTGGAAGACCTCTTTCTCTCTCTCCCCCCTCTGCCTCTCTGTAATTCTGCCTTTCAAGTAAATAAATACAACTTAAAATGAAGAGGAGGGGGGAGGAGGGGAGGGGAGGGGAGGGGAAGGGAGTTAAAGAATGTTGTGGTTTGAGAGGTCCTGATTAGGAATCTGGAGTGGTGGGTTGTCTTGGCTGGGGAAAGAGCAGTGCAGCGTATTATAATGGCAGGGGCTGCCAGTTAGAATCTTTGTGGCTTTTTAGTCTTTGTGTTTTGGAAGTTCAGGGAAAATCCCAGGAGCTCAAAGGAGGCTCTGTTGGGATGGTATGGCCTTTTTTCAGCCCTGTGAAGCTGTACTAGAGGGAAGAGAAGAAGACAAGTCTGCTCAGTTCAGTGTCAAGACAAATTTGAGCAATCCAGTGTCAGGGCCACATCCACATAGCCAGATGGAGATCTGGTCAGAAATCCTCCTGCAGGTGTATCTGGGCTTCTATGCCAAGTCCGTCATTGCTCAGCTGGATTTCGTCAGGACTTGGATTTCTGTGCTATATATGCCTAGAGTTTAAGTATGAGTTAGATATGCATATAGTGATGAGGGAAGCAGGAGTGGAAAAGAAAAGTGACTTTATTAATGTGAGTCGGTTTGGGAGCTCTGGTGTACCTCTGGTTTTATGGCTTCTTTTTCTTCTTCCAGTTCTGGCTTGTCTGGACTCTGCGGTTTCCTAAGAGAAATCTCGAAAAGGACTGAACAGTTCTTGCAGTTCTGAAACCATGGCCCATGTAAGTTAATGTTTCTATCTGCATTTTGAAATATTGTCATTTAGATCATATATACATATTTATTCCCTGAAGCTTCCTGTTTTGCACATTGCCATCCAAGAACCTGCTGTAGTTCCTCTCATTCTGGAGCACTGAGGACTGAGAGGCCAGTATTGGCTCTTTCTGCCCTTTCCTTCCTCCATTAATGTTGAACATCGCCTCTGCAAAGTCTTCTGTTGAGAGCAGAATTGAAATGCCTGTGAAAAAATGCATGCATTCTCTTCAGAGTGTCCCACTGGTTACCATTTTCCAATGGGACAACTTTTGATTGTAGTATTTAAACTTGGGGCAGGTGTTTGGCTCAGCTGTTAAGATGCCACGTGAGGGGCCAGTGCTGTTGTGTAGCAGGAAAAACCACTGCCTTCGGTGCCGGCATCCCATATGGGCGCTGGATCAAGACCCAGCTGCTCTACTTCCATTCCAGCTCTCTGCTATGGCCTGGGAAAGCAGTGGAAGATGGTCCAAGTCTTTGGGCCCCTGTACCTGCGTGGGAGATCCGGAAGAAGCCCTTGGCTTCAGATCGGCGCAGCTCCGACCACTGCAGCCAATTGGGGAGTGAACCATCGGATGGAAGACTTTCTCTCTCTCTCTCTCTCTGCCTCTCTCTGTGTAACTCTGACTTTCAAATAAATAAATACATCTTTTTTAAAAAAGAAAAAGATGCCATGTGGGTTGCCTGTGTCCCATACGGAGTACCTGGGTTCAAGTCCTGGCTCCTGTCCTGATTCCAGCCTCCTGCTAATGTGAACCCTGGGAGGCAGCAGGTGATTGCTCTAATAGTTGGGTCTCTGCTACCTACATGGGAGACTGAGATTGAATTCCAGGCTACTGACTTCTGCCTAGCCCAGCCCTCAGTGCTGTGGGCTAGGGAGTGAACCAGCAGGTAGAAAACCTGTCTCTGCTTCCTCTTTTTGCCTTTCAAATAAAATTAAATAAAAATAAATAAAATGTTAAAAACACCCACAAAAAGCATATTTCTTTCAATACAGTGATTTTTGGTCTAGTGGTTTTTTTTTTTTTTTTGAAAGATTTATTCACTTGAAAGGCAGAGTTAGAGATCTTCCCTCCACTGATTCACTCCTCAAATGGCTGCAACAGCTGGAACTAGGCCAGTCTGAATCCAGGAGTCAGGAGCTGCTTCTGGGTCTCCTGCACAGGTGACAGGGGCCCAAGTACTTGGGTCATCTTCTGCTTTCTCAGGTGCACTAGCAGGGAGCTAGTTCTAAATGGAGCAGCAGGGACTTGAACCAGTGCCCATATGGGATGCCAGCACCACAGGCCATTGCTTTACCTGTTACACCACAGTGCCATCCCCAGTCTAGTTTTATATAGGAAATATTTATGTCCTTACTACATGTGTGACATTTTTAGAAACTCTTTTGAATGCTGTATTAAGATGTGTTATTTATGGGGTCGGTGCTGTGGCGCAGTGGGTTATCGCCCTGGCCTGAAGCTCTCCTCTCCCTGGCATCCTACAGGATGTCTAGTCTGTTTGTCAGCAGAACCATTCATACCTGTCCTGGTTTCAACCAGGAGGAAGTGAGTTTCGTCTCCTTTTTCACCTATGAAATTACTCAAGCAAACCAATTGCATCCAATAGGAACCTCACCTTCTTATTAATACAAAGCTTGCGTTCTTTAGCCCCTTGTTGTTCACTCTGTTTCTGAGTGCAACTCTGTGTGGTCCTGCATAATGTGAAATGTTTTTTATTTTTTGGAGAGATTTTGATTCTTTTTTTTTTATGACCATTAAAGGGAAAGAGGGTAGAAGATCTTATATTAAGAATTTATGAGCCGGCGTCTCGGCTCAATAGGCTAATCCTCTGCCTGTGGCGCCGGCACACCAGGTTCTAGCCCCGGTCGGGGTGCCGGATTCTGTCCCGGTTGCCCCTCTTCCAGGCCAGCTCTCTGCTGTGGCCCGGGAGTGCAGTGGAGGATGGCCCAAGTGCTTGGGCCCTGCACCCGCAGGGGAGACCAGGATAAGCACCTGGCTCCTGGCTTCGGATCAGTGCGGTGCGCCGGCCGCGGCGGCCATTGGAGGGTGAACCAACGGCAAAGGAAGACCTTTCTCTCTGTCTCTCTCACTGTCTAACTCTGCCTGTAAAAAAAAAAAAAAAGAATTTATGACAGATTGGGCAAGTGTTTGGCAAATAATTAAGATGCCACTTGAGATTCCCATGTGCCATATTGGAATGGCTTGGTACATGTCCTGGTTCCATTTCTGCTGATGCTTATCCTGAATTCCAGATTCCTGCTGATGCTTATCCTGGGAGGCAGCAGATGATAACTAGAGTATCCGGGTCTGTCACATTCATGTAAGAGACTAAATTGAGTTCTGGATCTAGCCCCGCCTGTTGCAGGCATTTGGGAAATGAACCAGCAAATGGAAGCTAAATAAAAGAATTTATGATGTAGCCACATAATATGAAGTTTTTTTAAAATTTTTTTTTAAAAAGATTTATTTGAAAGGCAGAGTTAGAGAGAAAGAGAGGCAGAGAGAGGGAGGGAGGGAGGGAGGTCTTTCATCTGCTGGTTCACTACCCAATTGGCTGCAACGGCGGAGCTGTGCCGATCCAAAGCCAAGAGCCAAGTGCTTCTTCTGGGGCTCCCACGTGGGTGCAGGGCCCTAGGGCTTGGGCCATCTTCTGCTTTCCCAGGCCATGGCAGAGTGGAAGCCGAGACTCAAACTGGCACCCATGTGGGATGCTGGCACCGCAGGCGTTGGCTTTTCCCGCTACACCACAGTGCCAACCTCAGATATCTTATTTTTAAAAAGATTTATTTTACTTATTTGGAAGAGTTATAGAGAGAGGTAGAGAGAGAGAGAGAGGTCTTACATCTGCTGTTTCACTCCCCAAATGGCTACAATGACCAGAGATGAACTGATCCAAAACTGGGAGCCAGGAGCTTTTTCTGGGTCTCCCATGTGGGTACAGGGGCCCAAGTACTCAGGCCGTCTTCTGCTTTCCCAGGTACACCAGCAAGGAGCTGGATTGGAAGTGGAGCAACTGAGACTCAAACCAGCACTCATATGGGATGCTGGTGCTGCAGGCCAGGCTTTAACCTGCTGAGCCACAGTGCTGGCCCCAATATGAAGATATCTTATTTGCACTGTTTCATTTCACTGGAATTCTTTTGGTTATTTTATTCATTTCTAGATATGTTTGAATAAAAGTTTAATCTTCTCTGCACCACAGGCCTATTCAAGCACATGTAGGCAGCCTGCTTCAGAGTTATTAATTTTCTTACTGTCCCCTACTTATGTTATATATTTTCAGCCCTATACTATTTGCATGCTTGTGACCCATTCTCTGCAATGCAATCCTCAGTCCCTCTCTTCCCATTTTAAAAATATTTAATTTATTTTCCCAAGTAATACAGAGTTCATTTTTTAGGGACCAGTGACGTTCAGGGATGTGGCCATAGACTTCTCACAAGAAGAATGGGAATTCCTGGACTCTGCTCAGAGGGACTTATATAGGGATGTAATGTGGGAGAACTACAGCAACTTCATCTCCCTGGGTAAGATTTGTCTTAAGCGATACTAGCTTTCTCTGTCAGTTTCAGGGCTATATTTTGAAAACTAGGTAAATTTTTACTCTGTGTTTCCTAACTATCTGTTTAAACTTTGGTTGGAAATAAGCATCTCCATTTAACACCTAATCTTCCCCATCTAGGGGGTCTTAGATAGTTTCTCCAGGGGTCTTTGATTCCTGGTCTCCTCAGTATCTGAGTTGCTGTTTGAGTATGGCAGAAGCATTGTCCAAGAAACTAGATTGCATATTGTGTTTGAGCTCAAAGTTGGCATAGATACTTCATTCCTTTTGAATCCACCTGAAAGGGAAATACCTAGACATGGGGTTTCTGAGCTTCTTCAGCAACAGTCAGGGGAGGAGTAGGCATTCAGCATAGCGGTTAGGATGCCTCTGACCCACATCTTGAGTTCCCAGGTTGGGCTTCTGACGTCAGCTTCCCACCTTTGGAGACAGCAGTGATGGCTCAAGCAGTTGGGGTTCTGCTACCCATGTAGGCAACCTGGATTGAGTTCCTGGCCCCAGCCCAGCCCTAACTATTCTTTTTTTTTTTTTCCCCTCATTTATTTATTTGACAGGTAGATTTACAGATAGTGAGAGAGAGAGGGACAGAGAGAAAGGTCTTCCATCCGATGGTTCATTCCCCAAATGGTCGAAACGACCAGAGTTATGCCAATCTGGAGCCAGGAGCCAGGAGCTTCCTCCTGGTCTCCCATGCGGATACAGGGGCCCAAGCACTTGGTCCATCCACTGCTTTCCCAGGCCACAACAGAGAGCTGGACTGGAAGAGGAACAGCCGGGACTAGAACCAGGTGCCCATATGGGATGCCGGTGCCACAGGCGGAGGATTAACTTGGTGTGCCATGGCACCGGCCCCCAGCCCTAACTATTCTAGGTATTTTGAGAGTGAACCAATGGATGGGAGCTGTCTCTGTAAAGTAAAATTACATTAAAAGAAAAAAAAAAAATCAGGACCGGTGCTGTGACGCAGCGGGTTAATGCCCTGGCCTGAAGCACCGGCATCCCATATAGGGGCTGGTTCGAGACCCAGCTGCTCCACTTCCAGTCCAGCTGTCTGCTATGGCCTGGGAAAGCAGTGGAAGATAGCCCGAGTCCTTGGGCCCCTGCACCCGCATGGGATACCTAGAAGAAGCTCTTGGCTCCTGGCTTCGGATTGGCACAGCTCCGGCTGTTGCAGCCAATTGGAGAGTGAACTAGCGATTGGAAAATCTCTCTCTCTCTCTCTCTCTCTCTGCCTCTTTTCTCTCTATATAACTCTTTCAAATAAATAAATAAATAAATCTTTTAAAAAAAATCAAGTGAATCTATGGAATATACATAGTGTGGGATGGTTCCACAAAGTTTATTTACAACTTATGTGAACACATTCTGTTTCCTGTAGTAGACATACTCAGTTCTGCTTGTGGTTGACACTTAAACTCTAAGAATTTTACATTTAACATTGAATGAATATCCTAGAAAGGACCTGAGAATGTCTTTCAAAACCTATTATCCTTTCCAAAAATTGGTGACAGTAAAACTAACACATATTATTAAAAATAACACACACATTATGTGTATATAAACATATAATTATATACATTTGTGCTTAAACACTGTTCTAAGCATTGTACATTATTAGTTAATCCTCACAACAACTCTATGAGGAAGATACTTTTACTGTCCTCATTTCAGATTAGAATACTTAGGCCCTAAGGTTCAGAATTTACTTACGTAGCATGGCAGCAGAGGCAGGATTTGAAGCCAGACGATCTGAAACAGACTCTGTGTTCTCAACCACTACACAATATTGCCTCTCAGCAGAACCTCTGAGTTAACTTAGGTTAAGGCCTGTTGTTAAATACCTAGTGTTTATCCTTGTGGTCTTGAGGTTGCCCTGATACAAGCATTCTCCACTTCCCTTTGCATTTCTTTGCTCTCAGGCTTTATAATATGTTCCATTTTGACCTTTAGTGAACTATAAAATCTGAATCCAAGGTCATCTAGGTTTATAATTTTGTGTCACATTTTTCTTTTCAGCAGGACCTTCCATTTCTAATCCAAACTTGGTTACTTTATTGGATGACGAAGGAAAGGAACCTGGGATGGTTGTGAGGGAAGGGACAAGAAAATACTGCCATGGTGAGTAAGAGCTGAGCAAGCAATGGGGAAATCATTCCTGCAGATAACAGCTGAGCTGGCTACGATGGAGGCGTTCCCTAGAAGTACTACTGGGTATCTCTCTTCAAAAGCCCAAGGCCTGTAGAGGAAAATGGTGAGACCTGAAGCAAAGCAAAATCTTTTAAGTCCAGACTGACAAGGGAACTTCCTGTTGACTTCTAGCATGACACTCAGTGTCTTGTCTCTCCTGTTTCTCTCCCAATTCACAGAGAGGAACAGTTTTCTACAGAAGACAAAACTGATGACAAATATAAGAGCAGAAATAAGCAAAGAAAAAAGAAGTAGGGGAAAGTAATAAAGCTAAAAGTGAAAAAGATCAACCAAGGTGGTAATACGTAGGTAGATTAATCAAGGAAAAAATGGAACATAAATTGCTAATACCAGGAATGAAGGAAGCTTTTTCCTTCATGTTCTGTAGCCATTCAAAACAGTGGAGATGTGTGTTTGGCACAGCAGTTAAGGCTTCACTTAAGATGCCTGCCTCCCATATCTCAGTACCTGGCTTTGAGTCCTGGCTGTGCTTGCAGCTCCAGCTGATGTACACCAGGAGAGAAAGCAGGTGCTGGCTGCATAGCCACATGAGAGATCTAGATTGAATTCCAGGCTCCTGGTTTCAGTCTGGCTCAGGCTTGGCTGTTGCAGGCGTTTGGGAAGTGAACTAGGAGATGGAAGATTTTTATCTCTGTCTCTCTGCCTTTCAAATAAAATGAAAAAAAAAAAAAAAAAAAGTTAATAAGAATGCTACAGATAACTTTGTGCCAGTAAACTTGACAAATGAAATGGAAAAATTCCTTGACAAAATTCAGTGTACCCAAACTGACATAATCAGAAATATTCCCAGCTCTGCCTCATGGGTGATAACGTTGAACTTCATCTCCCTGGGTAAGACTTGTCTTAAGTGGTACTAGCTTTCTCTGTCAATTTCAGGACCCATAAGGATTGACATATTTTTATGACTAGACTTTTAAAATACTTTTAAAGTCTAGTTCATTAATATAATTTACGTACATTGTAATTTACCTTGTTTAGTGGCTAGTTGTAGTAATTTTAACAAATGTGAGTCTTGTTAACTACCACCAAAATAAATTTTTTTTTTAATTTAATTTTTTTTTTTTGACAGACAGAGTGGACAGTGAGAGAGAGAGACAGAGAGAAAGGTCTTCCTTTTGCCGTTGGTTCACCCTCCAATGGCCGCTGCGGCCGGCGTGCTGCGGCCGGCGCACCACGCTGATCCGATGGCAGGAGCCAGGAGCCATGTGCTTTTCCTGGTCTCCCATGGGGTGCAGGGCCCAAGCACCTGGGCCATCCTCCACTGCACTCCCTGGCCACAGCAGAGAGCTGGCCTGGAAGAGGGGCAACTGGGACAGAATCCGGCGCCCCAACCGGGACTAGAACCCGGTGTGCCGGCGCCGCTAGGCGGAGGATTAGCCTAGTGAGCCGCGGCGCCGGCCACCAAAATAAAATTTTAGAAAAATTCCAAAGTCTTCCCTTGCTCCTGGTGTTTCCTAAGTTAAATTTATCTTTTGGACTCAGAAATGTATTTTTAAAAAATATTTTAATATTATATTTTACTTATTTGAAAGGCAAAGTTACTCAGAGGGACACACACACACACACACACAACAACACACTGGAGAAGAAAAAGGTAAATCTTTTCATCGCTGGGTTCACTTTCCCAAATGGCTACAAACGAACAGGGCTTGGGCCAGGCCGAAAGCCAGGGAGGCCTGGAAACAGCCCAGGTCTCCCCATGGTGCATGGCAGGGGCTCAAGTACTTGCGCCATGTACTACTGCCCTCTCAGGTTCATTAGCAGAGAGCTGGATTGGAAGTGGAGCAACTGGGACTTGAACCAGCATTCAAAAGGCAGTTCTGCCCATGGTAGGCAGTGGTATAACGTGCTATACTATAATGCCAGTCCTAGGAAATGTATTTTTTGTTATGTTAAGGAAGTAGCTATACCTGTTTCTTAAAGTGCTTTTTCTTTTTGTTAAAGGAATGAATTCTGAATTTTGTCAGATTCCTTTCTGATGTCTATAGAAATGATCATATGGTTTTTTGACTTTGGAACTGTTAATATTATCATTTTAGTGTCATAAAAATTATTTATTTGAGGCCGGTGCCGCAGCTCACTAGGCTAATCCTCAGCCTTGCGGCACCGGCACACCGGGTTCTAGTCCCAGTCGGGGTGCCGGATTCTGTCCCGGTTGCCCCTCTTCCAGGCCAGCTCTCTGCTGTGGCCCGGGAGTGCAGTGGAGGATGGCCCAAGTGCTTGGGCCCTGCACCCCATGGGAGACTAGGATAAGTACCTGGCTCCTGCCATCGGATCAGCGCGGTGCGCTGGCCGCAGCGCGCTGGCCACGGCGGCCATTGGAGGGTGAACCAATGGCAAAGGAAGACCTTTCTCTCTGTCTGTCTCTCTCACTGTCCACTCTGCCTGTCAAAAAAAAAAAAAAATTATTTATTTGAAAGTTGGAGTTGGGGACCAGCACCATGGCATAGTAGGTTAAGCCTCTGCCTGTGGTGCCGGCATCCCATGTGGGCACTGGTTCAAGTCCTGGCTATTGCACTTCTGGTGACCTGGGAAAGCAGCAGAGGATGGCCCAAGTGCTCGGGCCCCTGTACCCATGTGGGAGACCTGGAAGAATCTCCTGGCTCCTGGCCTCAGATCAGCCCAGTTTTGGCTGCTGTGGCCATTTGGGGAGTGAACCAGTGGATTGAAGACCCTTTTTCTCTGTAACTCTACCTCTCAAATAAATAAAAAAGTCTTTAAAAATAAAGTCAGTGTTATGGAAAGTGGGAGTGAGAGATCGTCCATCCTCTAGTTCACTCCCCAAATGGCCCCAATGACCAGGGCTGGGCCAGGTGGAAGCCAGGAGCCAGGAACTCATCCCAGTGTCCCAAGTGAGTGACAGAGGCCCCAATACTTCAGCCATCTTCCACTGCTTTTCTCAGGCCATTAGCAGGGACCTGGATCAGAAGTAGAGCTGCTGGGACATGAACATGCACTCACATGGGATGCCGGGGTTGCAGGCAATGACTTTACCCACTATGCCACAACAACGGTCCCTCCATTTTTTTTTTCCAGGCAGAGTTGGACAGAGTTATAGACAGTGAGAGACAGAAAGGTCTTCCTTCTGTTGGTTCACTCCCCTAATGGCCGCTACGGCCGGCGTTGCGCCGATCCGAAGCCAGGAGCCGGGTACTTCCTCCCGATCTCCCATGCGGGTGAAGAGACCCAAGGACTTGGGCTATACTTCACTGCCCTCCTGGGCCACAGCAGAGAGCTGGACTGGAAGAGGAGCAACCGGTTCTAGAACCCGGGGTACCGGAGCCGCAGGCAGAGGATTAGCTAAGTGAGCCATGGTGCTGGGCAGTCTCTCCATTTTTATACTTACTTAAAAATAAATGCTTTTTTTTTTTCTTTTTAAAAATATTCTGAGGGGCCAGCACTGTGGCTCACTAGGTTAATCCTCTGCCTGTGGCGCTGGCATCCCATATGGGCGCCAGTTCTAGTCTCGGCTGCTCCTCTTCTAGTCCAGCTCTCTGCTGTGGCCCGGGAGGGCAGTGGAGGATGGCCCAAGTGCTTGGGCCCTGCACCCGCATGGGAGACCAGGAGAAGCACCTGGCTCCTGGCTTCGGATTGGTGCAGCGCTGGCCGTAACAGCCATTTGGGGAGTGAACTAACAGAAGGAACACCTTTCTCTCTGTCTCTCTCTCTCACTGTCTGTAACTCTACGTGTCAAATTAAAAAAAAAAAAAAAAAATTCTGAGTCACTTTAAGTATAATGTAGTTTATGGGCTTTCTAAAATTTTATAATCATCAAAATAACTTTTAGAGTAGGTCTTTGACTACTTACTCATATTTTCTTAGAAAATTCTCCTTTATTAATGTAGTGTAGTCCCTTATGGTTTTTCAAAATATTGCTTGTTAGTTATTTGCTAGTGTCAAGAACTGTGAAGGGTCTGCAGTTTCACCTACTGGCAAACTAGAAAGACTTCCACAGTCTTGGATCCTAGCAGAAGACACAGAACTTACAAATCAAAGACAAAGGGCATTATTCACAGCACAACAAGCAGCATGAGTGTGGGTATAGTTTGCGTCAGTTGTTCCTTTGCTTCAGTTTCTCCTTGTCCCCATGTCCCACGGGGATGATGTTGGATGGTCAAACTAGAGCCTGAGCATACCTGAGGTGCATTATGGGAGTGGAATCCTGAGCCTAAGAGAACTCACATCTTCTTGAGCAATAAACATATGTGACCTTTGCCCCAAAGGAGACATTACCTTTAGTATATTGATCTGAAATAGATTCTATCTCTATAACCATTCTTGAAAATATTGCCCAAAGGCAGTCAGTGCTTGCAAGATGTATAAAAAATGTGAGACTCAGGTTCATTTATTTCTGAATGCCTAGTTGCCATTTTAATTTTGTTTGCTTTCCTTTTTCTAAATATGTTAGTTAATGGTTAATATATTCTAACTTTTGTCAAGAGACCTAGGTTTTTTAAAATTTCTATATTAATTTCATTCTTTTTTTGGTTAACAAGGAAATTCTGTTTTCACTTTCACTTATTTCCTCCTGGGTCCCACAATATACTGTCCTCCTTACTTTTTTTTTTTTTTTTTAAGATTTATTTATATATTTGAAAGGCAGAACTACTGAGAGGCAGAGGCAGAGCATACAATCTATTACATGATACAAATGAGCTGAATACTGATAGGGAATAATAGTGTTACAATGTGGAAGGTAGTCAGTTTATAAATAATTTTCCCAGTTGACTGGAACTAAATTAGGAAAGATAAATGCCCTTTTATCTTTATTTTAAGAAAATTATTAAATGCCTACTCCTAGGGCTCCCTCTTGAGACATGTATCATCAATCTTGCATGGCCCTGAACTAAAGACAGGCTGCACCTCATCCTGTCTGTAGTTAAATGCCACCTTACTGATATCCTCATTGGCTCAGGGCCTTATTTTTATTTGCAATGTGTCGGCACCTGAAATCCAGAATTTCTACTTTATTTATGTTCATTTAAATAACCATGAAGCAGCCTTCAGCCGTGTGAGCTGCCTTTAGGTTATCCCTTGAAATATCATCTATTGCATTTGTTAGTACACTGAAAATAAAAATAAAGTTGCCTAGAGTTGTGTGGTCTGCTCTAGCCCTATTTTAACAATGAATCCAGTTATTTGGGTTTGTAATTTTGTAGAAGATAGTTTTTTAGGTATACATATATGGTATTTTAGTAGAAATGTCTGAGAAATCTAATACATTCATTTGTGGTAGACATTATTTCAAATGTCTTATTTCTCAGTAGAAATTTTCTTTCTTTCTGAATAGGAAAACAGAATGTGTTTGCTCTCTTGTTTTCTTTCAGATTTGGAGTCCAGATGTAGGACCAACACTTTATCTCCAGAAAAGGACATTTGTGAAATATATTCATTCCAGTGGGAGATAATGGAAAAAATTAAAAGCTGTGGCATCCAAGGCCCCATTTTTAAAAATGATTGGAAATGCAAAAGCAAAATTGAGGGGAAGAAGGAGCCACAAGAGCGTTGTATTGGGCAAGTGAACATTGCCTCTGAAAAGGTGACCTCTTATAAAAAACACAATTTTCTTGCTGAATATCAGATAATTCATAATGGAGAAAAGATATATGAGTGTAAGGAATGTAGGAAAACCTTTATTCGTCGTTCAACATTAAGTCAACACCTGAGAATTCATACTGGTGAGAAACCTTACAAATGTAAGGAATGTGGGCAGGCCTTTAGGCAGCGTGCACACCTTATTCGACATCACAAACTTCATACTGGTGAGAAACCCTATGAATGTAAGGAGTGTGGGAAGGCCTTTACAGTACTCCAAGAACTCACTCAGCATCAGAGACTTCATACTGGTGAAAAACCTTACGAATGTAAGGAATGTGGCAAGGCTTTTAGGGTACATCAACAGCTGGCTCGCCATCAGAGGATTCACACTGGTGAGAAACCCTATGAATGTAAGGCGTGTGGGAAGACCTTCAGACAGTGCACACACCTTACTCGACACCAGAGGCTTCATACTGCTGAGAAGCTCTATGAATGCAAGGAATGTGGGAAAGCCTTTGTATGTGGTCCAGACCTTAGAGTGCATCAGAAAATTCATTTTGGTGAGAAGCCCTATGCGTGTAAGGAATGTGGAAAGGCTTTTAGAATATGCCAACAGCTTACTGTCCATCAGAGTATTCATACCGGTGAGAAACCCTATGAATGTAAGGAATGTGGGAAGACTTTCAGATTAAGGCAGCAGCTTGTTCGCCATCAGAGAATACATACGCGTGAGAAACCCTATGAGTGTATGGAGTGTTGGAAGACATTTAGTAGTTACTCTCAACTTATTTCACATCAGAGCATTCATATTGGCGAGAGACCTTATGAATGTGAAGAATGCGGGAAGGCCTTTAGACTGCTCTCACAACTTACTCAACATCAGAGCATTCACACTGGCGAGAAACCTTACGAATGTAAGGAGTGTAGAAAACCTTTTAGACTGCTCTCACAGCTTACTCAGCATCAGAGTATTCATACTGGTGAGAAACCTTATGCCTGTAAGGAGTGTGGGAAGGCTTTCAGGCTTTATTCATTTCTTACTCAGCATCAGAGGATTCATACTGGCGAGAAACCCTACAAATGTAAGGAATGCAAGAAGGCCTTTAGACAGCACTCACACCTTACTCAACATCAGAAGATTCACAATGGAGCTTAGTAGAAGAAAGCCTTCAAATACACATTGTGTTTCAGAACATCAGAAAGTTCATTTTTGAAAAAATTTGTTTCATGCGCACAACTAAGCACAATAAATTTTATATTAGAAAGAATCTGTTGCTTTAAAAACCTTCCCTCACCTTTTAAACATTCTGTTTCTTCAGCAAATTCCTATGAGAGAATAACATGATGAATCTAGGAAACTGTTTAGCCTTATCATATCTTTATTTACCACTTTATTACCACAGGGATATTGGACAAGATAGTGTACGTGCCTCATTTTTCTCATTGTAAAATGATGTTACTTATTTTTATTATTTATTATGTAATAAATTACCACAAACTTAGTAGCTTAGAATAATACACATTATCTCCCAGCTACTATGGATGTGAAATCTGGTTGTGACTTAATTGTGTCAAGGACCTCATCTGAAGGCTCCATTAGAGAAGGATCCAGAGGATTGTAGCCTGAATTCGTTTCATCAAGGAGTGTTACAGTGAGATCCCCAGCTTCTGCCTGGCTGCTGGCTGAAGACCGACTGCAGCCTTTTGCCACAGTGGCCTCTTCAGCATGGCTAATCGCTTCATCAGAGCACACAAGCCAAGATGGCAGTGGAGTCTGCTAGCAAGAAGAAAGCTACAGTTTTGTGTCATCTACTCATGGAAATGACATCACATCGTCTGCTATTTTCAGCTGGTTAGAAGTAAATCTTTGAGCGTCCACTGTGGTGTAGCAGGTGAGCTGTTGCCTGCAGCACTGGCATCACACATGGGCACTGGTTTGATTGAAAGCACTGCTCTGCTTTCAATCCATCTCCCTGCTAATGGTCTGGGAAAAGCAGCAGAAGATGGCCCTAGTGCTTGGGCCCCTGCTGCCACTGTGGGAGACCTGGTTGAAGCTCCTGGCTTTGGCCTGGCCTAGCCCTGGCTGTTATGGCCATCTGAGGAGTGAACGAATAGATGGAAGATTTCTCTCTGTATCTACCTCTCTCTCTCTCTGTAAATCTTTCAAATAAACAAATAAATCTTTAAAAAAGAAGTAAATTACTAAGAAGCCCACACTCAAGAGAAAGGGATTATAATGAATGTGAATACCAGGAGACAGGAGCCATTGGGGGTCAAGCCTGCAACACCATGTAATGATATTGTTGTGAGTATTGAATAGTTAGTACTTGGCAGATGAGCAGTCACATAGCATGTATTCTGTAAATATTATTTATAATTATAATCAGTATTTGTGAATTCAATTGAAAGATCCTATAGGAGTAATAAATGTAAAAATGCCTCTTATCACCTCTCAGCACTTACTAAACAAACTAATTTATTCTAAGTAAGATATGGGAGATTACAGTGAATATAAGAAGTTCTTCATCACTTAACCTGCATCAGAAATTTCATGCTGAAAAGAAACTTTCATGAATATGAGGTGGTTGAGTATGACTATTGGAGAATCAGAAATATGGAATGATATTCCTATAATTTCAAAAAGCAAATGGTTACAATCCCTGTTGTCTGACTATAGTTCAAGATTAATTCAAAATTAATGCTATACTTCAAAAAGAGGACAGAAACTAGCCATGTTGAAATTTAATTTTGTTGATGTGTACACACATACATGTAAATGCATATGTGTGTCTGTTTAAGATTCTGTAAAACATATTCCGTTACAATCAGTATACTTTGTGGTACTCGAAATGTTCTTTCTTCAACCTGTTGGAGTTGTTTCAGGTTGGATCTTTTGACATGACCCCACCAGTAGATTGACAGTATACTTAATTGTGGCTGCATAATTTAGTCACTTAGAGAAGATGCTAGGGCACTGATTCATAATTCTTAAAGGAGGAATTGAACATTTATTTTTCTGTATGAACCAAGTTTTCAGGTCACCCTGAATTCATCTGATTTAAGTTCTTTTTAAAAGAAGTCCAATCAGAAAATACAGAAAGAATGATAGAATAAGAAAAAAAAAGTCACCATTTTCTAAATGCTAATGGGTTAAAAGGTCCAGAAAATGACCTTTAAAGGATGAAAACTGAGATTTTTATATTAAAATTTTTATATTGGATTTATCAAGTTGACCATCTCTGAACCCTTTGATCAATTTTAACTTCAGTAACAATAGGTCTGTAAGACAATATCCGCTGATACAATGCAACAGGAAGAATCACTACCTGAGAAACCTTACTGCCAAAATAATGAACTGAAGTATATCAAGTATTTTAAAACCAAGAGTGAAACATTGTAGTTGCCATCACATGAAAGCAGATCAAGAATATGTAAAGTGTTCTGATTTCAACTAATGAATGGCATGAGAAACAGAATGAAAGAGATGGAAGAAGTGTGGCATTATGTTGGCATTACTTGGTGGCAGCAATGTCAAACGACATTTTGGAGATGATGAGGCAAGTGTGGACACTTAGAAACACTAATTTTTTTAAAGCACTGATAACACAAATGTGGTTACTAAGTATATGTTTTAGAGATACGCATTTATGAAATTATAAGATTTCCCTTAAGATATTCCAACAAAAGAAAAGGAATTGGCTAAGAGAGCTGGAAACTACATTGGCAAAATATTGATAACTACTGAAGTTCAGTGATTTGATCATATGACATTGTTCTAACATCTCTGCTTTTGTAAATGTTTGAAATTTTAATAATAAAATGTTTAAAATCAAAATTGAAATTATAGACTACTTAGAAATGGATGGTAATGTCTACATATCTGAATTTGTAAAAGATCACCAAACTTTTGTTTTTGAGAAAATATTGCTCTTTAGTGTGCTAAAGAAATTTTTGTTTATAGGCCCAATATTCATCATCTTCACTTAGACACAGCAACCATTATATTATGTCATGTAGAGGAACGTAATGTAGGAATGAATAAGCATTTACATCAAGAAATGGGACCAACACAAGTAACAGTGAAGGCAAGTGTAGTAAAAAATAGGAATGAACAAAAAATACAATTGACTTGGTCCAAGGTTCATAATAACTATGCCAGGTTTAGTAAAAAAAAAAAAGTGCATATGGAGCATTAATGATTATTAAGTTGACACAGCTACAGGTAAGTAAGGAGATTTTAAAAAATTAGAAGAATACCATATGAAGGTACTTCAGAAGTTAGTGGAAAATGGAATTTGAAAATGTTAATTTTGGTGTAAAATATTTGATGCATATTTTTTCATAATATGCATTTCCATGAACATTTTGAAGACCTCTTGTATTCTTGGATTTCAAAATATTTTGCACTAAAACTTACCTTTTAAATTTGTTTTTCAATGAACTTTTGAAAGTACTCTTATACACATATCTTTTTATAATACATTGAAAACTACAGAATGATTATGCTTATTTTCTAAATGAGCTTATCTCAAAATTGCCTGGATTCCCCAGAACTCAACAAGATGGACAGCTGTGTATTTGTGTATGTGAACTTTGTATTTAAGAAAAAAATCTGATACTTTGACAGGTGAAAAGCTTTAGAAAATAGATAATATTAAAGATTTTACCAATTAATTTTGCACAGTTAAAATATGCAATTAAGATAGCTCCTTAAAGATTGTATTCTTTACACTTCCAAGTACAGTATATTTAGGTTTATCACAAAACCAGTCTTCACTAAAAGGTGAGTGTGTTTCCTTTTCCACACATCAGATACCTCCTGAAGACCTCTGTTTAATGTGGCTTACAGCTGAAACCTTTTGTTCTCCATGCTGCTTTTTGAGGGGATACTAGTTGTTGATGTTGTTTAAAAACAAAGATTGCTTGGGAAAAGGCAAACGAAGCAAGGGACAAAATCATCTATTTTAGAGAGGGTTTGAAATATATAATAGTTTGTCAAAAGATGTAAATAAATTGTTATATGAATATATGTCAAACTGACTTCATTATGGAATTCTCAGTTGGAAATATTTGGAAGATCTTTGAAACATGTATCACTTTTGCAGATGCTACTATAAACACAGTGTCTTCAAGGATGTTTCAGACATGGTGAGTGAGGGTGTTGGGAGGAGCTAACGAGAACACTTCCTCGCTGTTTTTTCATGCTCTGAAAGTAACTGCCTGCTTGGATGGTAATGTTCAATAGAAAAGAAAAGATTCTAGGCTAGTTCTGGATATATATATATATATATATATATATATATGAAACATGTTTAAATATTCTATTAATGGGGCTGGCGCTGTGGTGTAGTAGGCAAAGATGCCACCTGCAGTGCTGGCATTTCACATGGGCACTTATTTGAGTTCCAGCTGCTCCACTTCGATCCAGCTCTCTGCTATGGCCTGGGAAAGCAGTAGAAGATGGCCCAAGTCCTTGGACCCCTGCACCCACATGGGAGACCTAGAAGAAGCACCTGGCTTTGATTGGCGCAGCTGTGGCCGTTGCGGCCAATTGGGGAGTGAACAATTGGATGGAAGACCTTTCTCTCTCTCTGCCTCTCCTCTCTCTAACTCTGAATTTCAAATAAATCTTTAAAAAAAAAAAAAACTGTTAAGCAGTGTTAGGACATAAATGATTTTTTCATTGTAATAAAAATGCTATATTGAATACTCTTGTGGTTTTTTTTTTTTTTTTTTGGTTTCTTTAAAGTCTAGAATCTCTTCAGAGTGTTACCTAGAAGTGAAATATTTACCATAGTAACCATGGTCTATATGTATACCTTCAACTTCATTACTTACTATCACAGTTGCTCCCTCATCGTCTCAGTGTTGAATACCATCATTGAATGTGTTCATTTTTCCCTATCTCTGCTATGACTTTCAGTATATTTCCCTGGTTGAAAATGAATCCAGCATGTTTTACCTGTGGTCGTTAACCAATCATATTTCCTTTTCTGTGTTTTTTTTATTCACATATAGACAGTCTTCATTTTCAACTGGCCAAATGCTGTTTTATTTCCTGTTTATGATTGCACTATAATGGGGTTAGTGGACGTTTTTCTCTTTTCATTGGAATTTACATATCATTCATTTAGTGTAATGCTGCTTTTTTATTTAAATACTTCTATTACACATAAGTAGTTTGGTTCAGTCCTTATTTAATGCCTGCTAGATTTTGTAAGCTTATTTCATCATCAGTTGTTGTCAACATGTGTTTTTCATTTTCTGATGTGATAAATTATACAGATTTCTTTAAATGATTCTTAGAAGATAGATTTACTCATGTATGGCATAGTTTGTATTTAAAACTTTGGATTCCTAAAGCCCTTTTGTCTTAATACGTGTACATATGTATACAGCTATTAAGTAGGAGCCAAAATACAAAGACTCATTTTGTCTCTGTACTCAAGTAATTTAATGCTTTATCTAATAGTTTTCCTCCTATTCTTCATTCCCAACTACAGAATTATGTCTTGTAAAGAAATATAAAAGTCGGAAAGAAACATTGAAATCAGTCTTATTCCAACTCCACATTTTGTTACTTTCTAATTTGAAGCCAAATGTATAAATAGCATTGTTGAACTTACTGTTAAAACTTTATATTTTTAGTCTTGTGCTGTGGCAAAATAATTGCCATATTGTGACAATTTAAACTTTCCATAATTTTTTGAATGGAAATTTTAGATTTTCAAAGAGTCTGTTGCTGAAGTTTTCAGGTGAGTATTTTTAAGTAGCATGTTTGTATTGCTTTCCTTAGTATCCAAGGAAGCAAACCTTGCCTTCATGCTTGGATCCTTATATGATAGCAGAAATGCTCTTGAAAATGAGTATTTTTTCCTTAAAACAAGATATCTGCTCATGGTGAAATTTGAGACAAAAAGATCCGTGATGATACTCCATGAGACTTCAGACTTTCTGTGTCTTAACATTACAGATATAGCCCCTATTAAAAATTCCTCTTTTGGAAATTGTGTAAAACATTAAATTTATGAATGCGGGGGTGGATTCCATTGCCTCACCACTGTATTACAGCTGAACCATTCATCTTGTAGGTTCATCATTAATGGGTTCATTTTCATGACCCCGCGGAGGAGTCAGCTTTTTGTGCAGAGGTTCCAGAGAAGGGCCCCTTGAGTAGTGTGCAGATTCCTTTTGTGTATCCATAAAAGTTTTTTCACTCTTAACTTTGTCTTCATTTGCAATTTTTATCTCAAGATTAGTAGTAACTAGTATTGCTTTGTTTTTAGCCTTAAAGTCTTTTTGGCTGACGATGTGAAGTACATTCCTGGGCTTCTGTCTTAATTTGTTCTTGTTCGTTGTCTTCCATACCAGCATGCCACAGCTCCAGCTCCAGGTGATGCCCTAAAAATTTCTTGAGTATCTTTAAGTCAGTGTAGTGTCACTATGTTTATAAAGTTCATAATATAGAGAGACCTCATTAACAGTTAAATAGTGTTCCAGGACAAACATGAATCAGTGCATATGAACAGTCTTCTAATCACAGTCTTTTTGATTTACTCACTTTAAATTCCAATCTGTTAAATTTTAGTGGTAAAATTGTACATTATAAGTGTTGAGAGAGAAAATAATTGAAATTCTGTTTTCCATTTGGTAGCAGCAACTAGGGTACATTTATTTCCTGCTAGGGGAAGAATACAGACAAAGGCACTAGGGGGTGTGGCCTGGAATGGCCTGCAGTGTGTTTGGCTGCCTGGATAGCAATTGTGAATCAGGGTGTTAGGGTGCGTAGGGACTGGAATGATCTCTCCAGAGCTGAGAGATGGTTCTTGGGTATAGAAGCAACCCAAGTGCTGGGCTTGGCACAGATAAGGGACAGAGGTTATGCAGAAGGTATAAGAAGGGTGTGGTAGGAGTGGGGTGACCCTTGGTCAGAGCTTGCTAGAATATCTTGGAGCCAGGGCAACTTAAGATGTGGCACACTGGGGTGTGTTGGGCCCTGGCTGTTGTCTGAGAAGCTGGATGACAAGGGCTGGGAGAATCAAAGGCCTGTGGGTCAGCAGGACCCAGGAAGATGCAAGGACAGATAGGACCTGCCCTGGGAGAGACCAGGGTCCGAGGTGACTCCTACAGTGAGGCAGAATGTTCAGCTGTGGAGTTTCCACTGAGGAGTACATAGTCAGCTGTAGCCACTCCTGGATTTTTTTTTTAAAGATTTATTTATTTAAAAAAGTTACACAGAAGAGGAGAGGCAGAGAGAGAGGGCTTGCATCCATTGATTCACTCCCCAATTGGCTGCAACAGCTGGAGCTGCGCCAATCAGGAGCAAAGAACTTCCTCCAGGTCTCCCACACGGGTGCAGGGGCCCAAGGACTTGAGCCATCTTCCACTGCTTTCCCAGACCACAGCAGAGAGCTGGATGGGAAGTGAAGCAGCCGGGTCTCAAACTGGCTCCCATATGGGATGTGGGCACTGCAGGCAGCGGCTTTACCCACTACACCACAGTGCCGGCCCCAGTCCTGGATGTTCACCTAGATTTGTCCAGTGCTGTTTTTGTCAAGAGACTTGAAGGTAGGGAACTGGTGTCCAACCTGACCAAGTGGCTGATGAAATTGTCGAAATCCGCATTTCCTCTTTGATCTGAAGAGTTGAATGAACATGTTGTAGAGGCCCTGTTGCCCTAAAGGCCCTGCAGTTCACAGCTGCACGTGTTTCCTGATCAGTCAATGTCTAACTAACTGTGGCAGTTTTTGATGTTCCACAGGTACTTGAACTCTGGGAAGCCCAGCCTGTTCATCACGCCACTGTGCTGCAGCCTGTCAATGCCAAAACCTTCCATCTCCCTATCAGGGTGTTAGGTCACAACCTTGTTGAGAATGTGGTTCTGATCTCTATGTCATCTCTGGCCAGTTGGGCAAACACTCTCCAGACTGCCAGACCTCTTCACTCTCTTTGGCCTCAGTGTTGAAATTGTGGGTTCGTGGGGGTGAAGGCTGTGGGTTGTACTGTGTAGCTGTCTTGCTTAATGGGCTAATGACACCACCCAGGATGCAGAATGGCTTCTGCTGCAGCTGACCAGACCTCCGAGAACATTCCCCGGGCACACTGCAATTAAAATTGTGGAAATCATAATTTAAAAATCCTTTCCTTTTGAATGAAAGGAATTTTGTTTTACTTAAATTTAGATAACCATGAGGATGTTTTTATTATAATTTTTCTGCAAGCTACTTATTTTTCCACTTAAAACATCAGCTGGTTGGTTGGGTGTTTTTCTTTAGGAAGAAATGTCATTTTGCTATATATGTTCCTAATGTTTATTTTCTACTGTGCCATATGTTACTCATTCAGCTACTTTTAGGACTCTGGATTCTTATACTTTTGGTCTCAGTGTTATAAATAGGCCTAAGTCTTAATTTTTTCTTAAGGTACCTTTATAGTTAGGTGTAACACTGATCTATGTAAAATGTGTTTGGCATCTAGGATTGAAGTTAGGATATGGGTTTACTTTCTCCTAATGTATTGTCAGTTCTCCAGTGATTCTTTGAATAATGATTTATCATTTCTCCACTTGCTTGAAATGTTCATTTTGGTGAATTTTAATTTGTGTTTGGATAATGACCATACAATGGTGTCTTAGTCATGTGCCATTATCAAACTGTTTTATGTCTTGTCTTGAGGATAATGTTTAACATTTTTAGAGCATGTCTCCATCACTCTTAAGAGTTCTCTTCCTCTGTTTATTGTACTTTTATGTATATTTTTAAAAATATATTTACTGAATATTGAATCAACATTCAATTTTTAAAAAAGACTTTATTTATTTATTTGGGATGTAGAAGAGAGGGAGAGAGAGAGAAATGTCTTCCTTCTGCTGGTTTACTCCCCAGACGGCTGAACTGGCTGGAGCTGAGCTCATCTGAAGCCAGGAGCCAGGAGCTTCTTCTTGGTCTCACAGGCAGGTGCAGGGGCCCAAACATTTGAATCGTCTTCCACTGCTTTCCCAGGCCATAAGCAGAGAGTTGGATTGGAAGAGGAGCAGCCAGGACACGAACTGGTGTCCATATGAGATGCCAGTGTCACAGGTCAAGGCTCAACCTACTATGCCACAGTGCTGGTGTTGTATTTTTAAGTCAACTGCTAAGTTTGAAAGCTATAAAAGCAATAAAATAATGGATCAATTGAGAAAAATTTTCATCTTTATTTTTAAAATTTATTTGAAAGGCAAAATTACAGAGTGAGAGAGACACAGAGGTCTTCCATTCACTGGTTCACTTCCCAAATGGCCGAAATAGCTGGAGCTGGGCCAGTCTATAGCCAGGAGTCAAAGCTGCTTCTGGATTTTCCATGTGGGTGCAGGGGCCCAAGCACTTGGGTCATTGTCTGCTTTTTCAGGCCATTAGTAGGGAGCTGGATTGGAAGTGAAGCAGTGGGGACTTGAACCAGTGCCCATGTGGGATGCTGGAGCTGCCGGTAGAGGCTTAACCTAGTATGCAGTGGTGCTGTATTTCTTCTGTAAATACAGCAGCATACTATGCCTGACATGGTAAGAGAAATGTAAATATATTATGAGAAATGTAAGAACATAACTCCAAGAGATGGCTCTGATAGTTGTGAACATCCTTTTGAGAAAATGAAGGACCTTTTATTAATGATTTCTTGTTTAGTATTCCAGGCATACTGGGAGAGACCAGGGTCCGAGGTGACTCCTCCAGCGAGGCGGAAAGGGGGCGGATCTGGGGTTTCCACTCAGGAGTATGTCGTCAGCTGCAGCCACTCCTGGATGTCCACCTGGACTTGTCCAATGCTGTCTTTGTCAAGGGACTTGAAGGTTAGAAACATGGTGTCTAACCTGTCCAAGTGGCTGATGAAACTGTCAAAATATGTATTTCCTCTCTCATCTGAAGAACTGAGTGATCACCTTGTAGAGATGCTCATTCAGGTGGAAGCCTGAATGTGTTCAGAAGGCTTCAAATACATATATTTCAATGGTAAGTCTTCATTTAAAATATGTCAGCTAATGAGGGAAAATTTTAGGTGACACCATTTGAAGTCCCTTGATTTTCTAAAATTTGAATATGCCCTTATATTGGTGCTTCTCATATGTGTGTGTGTGTGTGTGTGGTTTTTTTTTTTTTTTTTTTTTTTTTTTTTTTTTTTTTTTTTAACAGGCAGAGTGGACAGGGAGAAAGAGAGAGAAAGGTCTTCCTTTGCCGTTGGTTCACCCTCCAGTGGCCGCTGCGGCCGGCGTGCCGCGCTGATCCGAAGGCAGGAGCCAGGTGCTTCTCCTGGTCTCCCATGCGGGTGCAGGGCCCAAGCACTTGGGCCATCCTCCACTGCACTCCCGGGCCACAGCAGAGAGCTGGCCTGGAAGAGGGGCAACCGGGACAGAATCCGGCGCCCCGACCGGGACTAGAACCTGGTGTGCCGGCGCAGCAAGGAGGAGGATTAGCCTAGTGAGCCGCGGCGCCGGCCTGAAGCATGGTTTTGTTTTAGCTCTTTGTGCTACATAGCTTCCCCCTACGCAATTAAAGGGGCATACTTTTTTTCCCTCCATTTTGAAGCAGATAAGCAGATATTTACAGAAATCTGTCAAGCAATAATCCCTGAAAAATGAGTTTTTTAGAGTAGTTATACTTTAATACTCAAAATATCCAAGTGCAAGCAAAAAATTACAAAGAAGCAGGAAAGTGTAGCTCACAAGGAAAAAAAATTTTTTTAACAGAACCCTTCCATCAGGAAACCTAGGTATTGAAACTATTCGTCAGAAATGTTAAACCACTGTTTTTTTTTTTTTTTTTTTTTTTTTTTTTTTTTTTTGACAGGCAGAGTGGATAGTGAGAGAGAGAGATAGAGAGAAAGGTCTTCCTTTTGCGGTTGGTTCACCCTCCAATGGCCACCGCGGCCGGCGCACCGTGCTGATCCAAAGGCAGGAGCCAGGTGCTTCTCCTGGTCTCCCATGGGGTGCAGGGCCAAGCACTTGGGCCATCCTCCACTGCACTCCCTGGCACAGCAGAGAGCTGGCCTGGAAGAGGGGCAACCGGGACAGAATCCGGCGCCCCGACTGGGACTAGAACCCGGTGTGCCGGCACCGCTAGGTGGAGGATTAGCCTGTTGAGCCGCGGCGCTGGCTAAACCACTTGTCTTAAATACACTCAAGGATTTCAAGGAAACATATGCTCCGGTTTGGAAGTGAGTTATCCCTTGTGAAACTCGTGTTGAGAGGTGGGGGTTTTAAGAGGTGATTAGGTTGTTAAAAGGAATGAATGGCTTTTTTCAGAGTGAGTGAATCCCCGTGAGGGTGGGTTGTTATACACGGAGTCTACTCCTTGTGTTCCCTTCCTCATGTGGCCCTTGCTCTTCCACTTTCCACATGAGCTGAAGCAACATGCGGCCCACATCAGAAGCTAAAATGCTGGTGCCATTTTCTTAAACTTCCCAGCCTCCAGAACATTGAAGCAAATAAACCTCTTTCCAGAATGCTCGGTTTCAGTGTTCCAGTGTAGCAATAGAGAACAAACTAAGATAACAGGATAAAGAAAGGAAGGAAATAATGGAACCAGCTATGAACAAGCACAGAATATTAATATAATTACCAAATATAATTCAGAAGCTAAAAAGCACAATAGTGGAAATGAGAAATTTTCAAGAGAGATTTAATTGTATATTTCGGGGCAGAAGAATCAGATAATTCAGTCTAAGGAGCAGGAGAAAAATAAGAAAAATGAACAAGAGTGAGAATTTAACCTAGCGGTTAAGGTGCCAATTAAGACAGCTGTATCCCTTGTTGGGAAGTACCTGGGTTTGATTCCTGGCTCCAGCTCTGGATTCCAACTTTGTGCTAACGTCAACCCTGGGAGGCAGAAGTGATGGCTCAGCACTGAGTCATGCTACCTTCGTGAGAGACCTGGATAGTGTTGCCTTGCTCCCAACTTCAGCCCCAGCCCAGCCCAGCCCTGGCTGGGCATTTGGGAGTGAACCAGCAAGAAGGAATGCTCTCTCACTCTTCCCTCTTCCCTCTCTCCTTCCCTCCCATACCTTCCCTCTCACATAAATAAGTGTTTATTTTTAAAACTACCAGAGCGTGAGCAACCTGCAAGATGTCATCAAGTGGGGCAACAGCACATTAGAGAAGTCTGAGAAGACAGATTAAGGCCACTGAATCCCATGAGCATGGGCCAGTTGCTGCACTTCATTTGCTGTGAGGTGAGTTCCGTTTGACAGTGGGTGAGGCATTCTGTAAGTACACACAATAGTTTTGGCAGAAGTATTACATATGATAGAACCAAATTCATATCCAGATGAAGGGTCTATTTCTTGAAAGATAGAACACTGCCCCTTCAGTTATTGAAGCAGTCCAATGGACTCGACGTGACGTGAGGTAGCTGGCCAACACCCTGGGGAGTAGTACCTCACTGAGGGCTCTCTTCATCTCTGCTGCAGCAGATTGACCTTGATGGGTGAAGATCCATGTTACTATTCCCCTGAATGACCTTCCCCATGGTCCCATGGCCACCTTATTCATTAGCCAGGTGATGACAGTATTGGTGGGGGAAGGAGACTGGTATCTGCAGAACAGGTCATCATGTCCACTTGATTATTAAAATCCTCCTCTGACAATGTCACCTTTTGGTGAGAATTCATATGGGATGCAAATATTTTCTCATTCATTACCATTCAAAGAGGTCTATCCACATGCCTCTTTCCCAGACTTTGTCACCAATGTTCCAATCATGTTCTTTCCAAGTCCCTGGCCATCCAGCTAAACCATGAGCTGTAGTCTGTAAATTTGTGTATGATTTCATGTCTGGCTAGTTCCCATAAGCAAAATGAGAAACCAGG